CTTATACCACGCCAATTGTTTATCAAGGCAATCATAATTTTTGTTATCTAGAACCACACTTAGCACATAACACAGACACATTTTTCCTTGTTTTAACCTAAACCATGCGGTCAGAAAAAGAATTGACCTATTTTTCATTCAACGGGTATAATTTATACCACTGAATTTTTAAATCGTTAACATTTGATATAAAGTCACATGCAATGCTAATTGGTCCCGCTGTGACTCTACGGACACTTATTACATTCATGTGACACTGATATGTTTATCCTGTAACGCTATATCCTTTATCATGATGCATGAGAACAGATTCAGGAAGTCAGTGGTGACGGACTACTTTCACCACAGCTCAACCAGGAATGTTTGTGGTTTCATGCAAGTCAGCATTATCACGAAGTGATTTAGTTCCATTGTAGGACAAACACAGAGATTGTGGGGGTGCTACTCTAACCAACTCCATACAGGGTCTGTCTTTCTTGACAGCATTTGACTCATTTCAGTTAGTGAGTTTAGATTTACGCCGCTTTCAGCAATATTCCAGCAATAGGGCACACCAGAATGGGGCTTCGCACATTGTACCCATCTAGGGAATCAAACCAGAGTCTTCGGCCTGACAAGCCAACGCTTTAACCACAAGGTTATGCCAGCACCCCTGCCTCATTTCAGATTGACTGGGTTTGTTGTGGAAGCCGTGCGATGTCAAAAAGACATGGAGAATAACAAAAACAATTCTAACCCAGATCTTCACAGGTTTACAAACAAGAGAATTATATATGAATGTTTGTCTCATTTGTGATAAACAGTATTTTTGTCAGTATGTCAGGATAGATTACCAGGTAAGCAGTAATGGATACAGGTTGTAGAAATTCACATTTTTTGCTGAAACCTAAAAGCTAACAAACCAAGGTGAATATTTATTTGTTACTGTTTACACCATAAGCTATAATCTAACTATGTGGTGGCGGTCTGTAAATAAGCACGTCTAGACAGACAATCCAATGACTGATATCAGGAGCATCAATCTATGCAAATAGGATAAAAATAATATCAACCACGTCAGCAGGTTTGACAATCTGATCCCATTAGTCACTTCTTACAACAAGCATGGGTTGTTGAAGACATATGGAGTATATCTAGATTTACTGGGAGTAACCAAGCCTCTCTCTCTCCATCAGGGACTGAGTAAGGTATTACAATGTGAGTAAGCATAATGATCCATTGGCTGGTGTAATGACATTATGTATACATAGTGACATTAGAGTTGCGTATCACCTGAGATCTTGTGATATACGATACGTATCACTATACAAAGTGACAAAACCATTGGTGTCATGAGATACCACTGCAAATACTAATTATTTTTTTATCAAAACACTGAAATAAAACTCTTAAACTTCTTCCTTCATACATTTCACAACTTTTTTTCAGTTCAAGGACTTTTCAAATTCACAATTGGTCCAACTGAAGACTATATATTCAACAAGTGCTGCCAGTATTGTGACAACATCAATGCTGTCATTTGGTGGTGTTATGCTGTGGGACGTCGCCCTATCACTTCCTGGTCTATTTATAGCATATGCCATCTCACAAACTCACGATCTATTCATCGTCTGTATCAATGAGTGAATGAGTTTAGTTTTACACCACACTCAGCAATATTCAAGCTATATGGCGCATATAATCGAGTCTGGACCAGACAATCCAGTGATCAACAGCATGAGCATCGATCTATGCAATTGGGATATGATGACACATGTCAACCAAGTCAGCAAGCCTGACTACCCGATCCCGTTAGTCAGCTTTTACAACAAGAATGGGCTACTGAAGATCAATTCTAACCTGGATCTTCACGGGTCCTGTATCAATGACATGGCAGGTATCGCAGTAAATCACTATGATCTGAATGTTGAAAACCATGTATCCTGTGCAGAATTATAATTACAAATTGCCTATTATTGCTATGTCTCAATAAGCCTGTTTCATCTATCAATACATTATCTTGAGTCAAATATGATAATTTTTTGTCATTTCCACCTCAAGTTGTCTCCATATTTTCCACTTTCCAGCTTATAAGACCTAGAAGATCATGAGAAGTTGGCGGTTTTTTTCCATCATATGATATATTTAGGCTTCCTCTATTCATGTTATGCAATCAGATCTAGCATTTTGTTTTGGTGATAAAGTAAGAAATGTAGCTAATGTGAGTAGTTATGCTAATTTTTTTAAACATTTCATGTATATTTCTTCATATGTTCATGTAAATCGATACATACTCGATGCATCAAAATTAAGAGTCCTGAAATGGCCACTGAGCTGGTCCGTCCCTCCCTAAATCCCTCACAGTAGCCTTGCTCCAAGGCTGTACTGAATGCTGAACCTACGTATAGTAATTCTTTCCTTTCAAGAGGCAAGTCTAGATAGGCAGATAGTGCAGTCTAATGACCCCAGTCTGTTATTTATTATTTTTTTAAATTATCATTTAAATTATTAATTGTTGCCTTAGAGACCAGTGCAACTGTACCCTCTCAGCAACAGGTTTAATGTATCCCAGAAGAAAAACACACCAACTGATCAAGCTTCGTATTCTTAAATATACCTTATATTTTTACACTTTTAAAATAAATTGTCCATAATATTCACGGAATTACACTATAAAATTTCATTGGATGACATTTGTAAACAAATTTAATCAAATACATATCTGGCTTAATACTTCATGAAGATCTAATTCCACATAAAAACACAGCAGTATGTCATAATGACATTTACAATATATTCCAAGTAGGTCCAGAGAACAGTTAGCATTTAAGACCACTAACATTATCCACACTATGTCACAAGATGACTCAATGTTCAGATTATTGGGGGGTAGCACGTTGGTAAAAGTGTTCAAATGTTACAGTTAAGACCGAAGAACCGGTTCAATTCCCCAAATGGTAACAATGTGTGAAGCCTATTTCTGGTGTCCATACGAAAATATGCCTAAATGCTAATCCTCTAACCCTCAATCACTCACAGAGGCGGTGGGGTAGCCTAGTGGTTAAAGCTTTCGCTCATCACGCTGAAGACCCGGGTTCATTCCCCACATGGGCACAATGTGTGAAGCCCATTTCTGGTGTCCCCCGCCGTGATATTGCTGGAATATTGCTAAAAGCGGCGTAAAACCAAACTCACTCACTCACTCAATCACTCACAATGGTTTACGTGGCCCATAGTTGATGCTGTATGTTATAGCTGCATTACCTGGAAGTCTGTTGCTTAAAGGAACATTAGTTTCATGTGTTTAAAACTAAGCATTATAGTCATGGTTCCATGACCTTGTCTTAGCCCCAATGTAAAAGTTAAAGATCTAAGGGATTGACAGAAAAGACCTGACTTTGGCACAAGCAAGAAAATGACCGATCTAATCTTCAAACAGGTTCAAACAAAATGGGAAAATCGGAGGTACAATCACAATCACTGTCGAACTATTTAATCGAAATATATCGCATATAGCAATTTAGATACCTTTAACACAATATATATGTGGTAAAGGGTGTGGGTGTCGTTGTGGGATGTGGGTGCATGGGTGGAGGAGGTGGAGGTGAGGGTGGGTGGTGACGAAGAAGGGAAAGTGACATATGTACTGTTTTATCAACCTCCCACCATTACTGCTTATCTACCTTCCACCCACACCATCACGTACAGTTCCTTATCAACAGAGTATTATCAGCGAGATTGTTGACGCTAACATGTACAATTAAAAAACTGACAACATGAGATAAAACAAAAGCAAGACTTTCCATGAAAACCAAATGGGCACAAAACATTAAATACGATAGTGGCAATATTTCAGTGCACTGGACACTGAGAAAGAAACTCGCAAGCCTACAGACTTAATATCAGGCACACAGGAATAATATCAGGCACACAGGAATAATATCAGGCCCACAGGAATAATACCAACCCCACAGGAATATCAAATCAACAGGAATAATACCAAACCCACAGGCATAATACCAAACCCACAGGAATGATACCAAACCCAAAGGAATAATACCAAGCCCAAAGAAATGATACCAAACCTCAGGAATAATACCAAGCCCATGGGAATAATACCAAACCTACAGGAATAATACCAAACCCACAGGAATAATACCCCGGCCACAGGAAAAATATCAAACCCACAGGAATAATACCAAGCCCATTGGAATAATACCAAGCCCATGGGAATAATACCAAACCCACAGGAATAATACCAAACCCACAGGAATAATACCCCGGCCACAAGAATAATACCAAACCCAAAGGAATACCAAACCCACAGGAATAATATCAAGCCCACAGGAATAATACCAACCCCACAGGAATAATATCAAATCCACAGGAATAATACCAAACCCACAGGCATAATACCAAACCCAAAGGAATAATATCAAATCCAAAGGAATAATACCAACCACACAGGAATAATATCAAATCCACAGGAATAATACCAAACCCACAGGAATAATATCAAACCCACAGGAATAATACAAACCCAAAGGAATAATACCAAGCCCACAGGAATAATACCAAACCCAAAGGAATAATACCAAGCCCACAGTGTGGATCTTTGTTCATGATATTAACCACTGATTTGCTTTAAAAATCGGCGGCAAATATCTGTGACATTGTTGACCGTGGCATAAAACAACATCCACTTACTGCGCGAGTCCAAAAAGTCCTTGTCTTCTCAAATTTGTTGGTACCCATGGTAACATGAAATGGCTACTGATACCTATGGGATAAAGGTCACAAGGACAAGCAATATTGATTGCTGAGTATTGCCCAATAAAAACTTTTTCATCATATAGAGGACACTTCACCTACATAAGCATTACAATGGTCAGGGTTCACACAGAATAACAGCAATGCCAAGAGTGGCCGTAGTCCCAGTGGCAAATGACAAAACAAGCACCTGTTGACCTGCAGACTAGTGTTCCATGGAACTAATTTTTAAACGCAAGTGAAGTACTCACCATGATTAATTAAAACACAACATGCAGCAACAGCGTCCACCGGCTGAGTAGTTTCCACTTATTCCTCCCTCACAAAGCGATCAGAAACCTACAACAGCAAAATAAAGAAATCTTTTTCTGGAAACACTGGCTAAAATGAGATCAGTAGGTGCAAAGCAATCATAAGGCTAGGCATGAATAATGTTTGGTCATTGTGATGGAACTGTGTGACTCTTGGCTGGGGGTTCACAGCCTATTGCAGTTTAGACTTGGGTGATGCTGGACTAGAGGTTCCCAGCCTCAACTCTTTAGCTCGTAGTACAAATCAACCACATGAGTGATGTTGCACACATAGCACCTGCTCCATAAAGGGTGTGGCTTGGGTCAAGGTTACAAGTTCCATGATAGTCAACAGCTGCCGACTCTTGCATAAACAGCAATAAAGGTAAAAGATTAACATCACATTTGACAAATCTGCATCTATTTATCTATCAAAGGAAGACTATGAACAGGTGTCTCAAACTAAAAATCCACACATGCCCTCAACCACCCCACCCCAACCTCCTGCCACCCATGTCACTACTACCATCCCCCAACCATTATTTGACCACACCACAAAGAAACATGAGAAATCAATGAAAATTCATCAAGAGTCATAACCTACTATTTATGCATCACTAACGTTAATTATTTGACACTGCAGAGCCAATTCAATATGTTCAAGTACTTGTAAAACAGTATCAAGTTACGTCATTAATTACCAAAAAAGTGCAAGTAATTCTATGGCATGTGATTGGATAACTAGGCAATTTATTCTGCCTTATGTTACCATAACCCTAAAAACATGAGGACATGGCTACTAACAGTCTGCTGCTTTCCGGATTGGATGATAACAGGAATGGCATGGCGGGTGTTGTGTTACGCACTGGATGATAACACATATTTCATATTACTGTCTACAGTTTTTTTGTGTTAAACAATAAATTAGCAGACTGTGAAGTTATTATTGATAACTAGGTTTTTTTTACACTGTATATAACATATTGACTACAACATATATTTGTGTTAATGGCAGCATAAACGAGAACATTTTGCCAGGCACTGTAGCTCACCTGACATGTAGTTGCCAGTTATTATTGTCAACAAAGACACACATAGTTGCTGTCAGATTGTTAATCAGTTACTTTCTGTATAGTGAGTGAGTGAGGGTAGCTTTACACCGCACTCAGCAATTTTCCAGCGGTCTGTAAATAATCGAGTCTGGACAAGACAATTCAGTGATCAACAGCATGAGCATCGATCTACGCAATTGGGATATGATGACATGTGTCAACCAAATCAGGGATCCTGACCACCCGATACTATTAGTTGCCTTTTTACAGGCATGGGTTCCTGAATATCAATTATAACCCGGACCTTCATGGGTTACTTTCTGTATAAATATTGAGTGCAAATTATTAACAAATACCAAACTAACTCTCATTGTTTCTAGTTCTGCCGATCGGAATTGTCAAGCTTTCTGACTTGGTTCACACGTCACTGTATCCATATTGCGCAGATCGATGCTCATGCTGTTGATCACTGGATTGCCTGGTGCTGACTCGATTATTTATGTACTGCCACCATATAGCTGGAATGTTGCTGAGTGCTGTCTCAACAACGCACAAACAAACAAATCTAATTCTGCAAGAACACTCTATAACACTGTTGCAATGCACGGACTAAGCTACATAAAAAATTACCCTGCACAACGTTTCATTCCATTCCACAAAGTGAGTGAGTGAGTATGGTTTTACGCTACTTTTAGCAATATTCCAGCAATATCAGCGGGGAACACCAGAAATGGGATTCACACATTGTACCCATGTGGGGAATCGAACCCAGGTCTTCAGCATGACGAGCGGAATCAATAACCACTTAGCTACCCCACTGCCCTTATTCCACAAAGGGATCTTAGCACTAAGATAATCACAACTGCCATGCTTTAACATAGACTTACAATCATCTTAGGCTAAGATAGTTTTGAATAATAAGAACCAGATGAGCTAAAAACCAGGGTGACAATTTGTGTAAACCCATTAAGTGGACTTGTCTTCACAGTACAGAAAACAAGTGTTTAATGCAAAAAACATTTACCACATTGACTGTCAAGTGCCACATTGGCTGTCCCTTTCTCTGCACTCCTCCCTCGTAAGAAATAGTGAACTGTGTCAATATTTGATATCTCAAACAACTTTTTTGGTGGAGTCCAGGAAATTTTCAAATATAAGAAAGCTGTTGGGTATTAGTAAATGATAAACATGTGTACTATTTATATTTATGTGGCAATTTTGTACAATGATAAAATTTGCAATTCATTGGTCCGTTTCTGACTCAAACGGACTGTAATCTAGACTTGCCTCTTTAAAGGATAGAATTATAATACATCCATGGGCTTAGCATTCAGTACAGCCCTGGAGCAAGGCTAGCCTTAGCACTAAGATTGCTTTGTGGAGTGGGGCCTTGACTTAAGAAGACATGTTTAAAATTAATAACACAGTCTTAGTCATAGTGTGGGGGTTAACACCTACCAACAATTCATGCGAGGCTTAGCGACAGTTCTTGAAAGTAAATAGCTATGACTGATGCACCAAACATGTCATCAGAGGCCATTCTTAATTTTTAATTGAAGGGAGTGACGAATACCGGTATGCCTGTTGACATTACTTAGGGACACTTACTACAGTTATGGATGGAAGCTCTTTTCAATATTTTTTTAAGGACCATTTACCCTATCATTACACAACTGTTCAATGAGCCCTTGCATTAGAAGTGATAGTACTGATACCATATATAACTTAAAAATTGCGCCATAGCACTGTAGTACACCTTGACATGGTGTCTAAAGTTAAAACAACAGTTAAAGACACCATTGAGACTTATTTGTTTTCATTTATACTGAGGACGGAAATGATATCAAATATGAAAATGTAACAATAAGTTACACAATGTTGTTAAATCTGCAACAAGGTATGTACTGTTGTGTTACCGACTGACTGACTGAGTTTGGTTTTACGCCGCTTTTAGCAATATTCCAGCGATATCACGGCGGGGGGACACCAGAAATGGGCTTCACTCATTGTAGCCATGTGGGGATTCGAACCCGGGTCTTCGGCGTGACGAGCCAACGCTTTAACCACTAGACTACCCCACCGCCCCCTGTTGTGTTACACTGTTATATACCTAAGAATGAAAAAAAAATTCTGATGTGGTGCAACTGTCCCATTACTTTCACACAATCCACCAGTACATTATGACAGTTGAACAAATTCTCATGTCATCTCACAGAGAAGTTCTTCAGTATGATAAGGAAATATCTACATGGTCCAAAAACAAATATGGAAAGGAATTTAAGATAATTGTGTTTTGAACAAAAATTGTTTAGCATCTATTATAAATAACTCTTCAAATAGCTGCCATAATGAAAATTTAATTCAACCTCTCGACTGGGTGTCACCTTGGTGGAATTTTAGCTTAATGGTCTGGTGGTTTCTGAAGAATACAGTTTATAGACACTCACTACAGATGCCAGGAAAACCTCACTCAGACTTTCGATCAGCTGAGTATGGCAAGATCACAATAATTATTCAGGCATATACAACACCTCTCTCTCAAAACTTAGAAACAGATATTTGTTCAGAGGAACCAACAGTTACATGCATAACCAATAGCTATTGATATTGACTGAAACTTATCTCAAGGTTATAAATGTGAAGAAATTTAGGATAGCAATTGCAAGGCTAAGATCATCCCATGATCTCTTTGTGGAAACAGGAAGGTACACAAATATCTCTAGGGAAAATAGATATTGTAAACTTTGTAATATGAATATCAAAGAAGACGAATATCATCTACTTCTTATATGTCTAATTTATTCAACAATAAGAGAAAAATATCTGTCTAATTATTATATTAGACACCCAAACACTCACAAATTTATTGCCCTACTGAGTTCAAACAATTCTCAAATTCTACGACATGTATCAACATTTATATTCAATGCTTTAAACTATAGAAAGACTGTCATGTCTTAATTGTGTCATGTAATATCCACGTTAATGATTGCTTATATTCTACCATATGCATATTGTAATTGTACTACAGGCCTGTGGCCTCTTCAGTACTGAATAAACAGATTTGACAACACTGATATTGATCACTGAGATCAATAATCAGTAACTAAATATCTATCAATTATTGATTAATATCGGAGAATAACTTTGAGCCAAAATACCAAAAGGGTATAAAAAGAAACTAAAATATTTCGCATGAATTTTTCCAATTAGGCCAGACCAATCTTATTTCTTGTTTTACGGATCCGCCAGTCACATTTTTTCAAGAATGAGAAAAACATTAAAATTAGTTATCCCTGCTCAAAAAATAAAATCCTCATGTTGTTTATTGACCAAAAATATAAACTTACAACAACAACAAAATTTGATTGTTTTTGGCCCCTTATACACTTCATTAATTGCTAAAAATAAAATACTTTTAGTATTTAAAAGGAATATTACTTTGACTAGTGATTTTCATTTTTTATTTCTTTCTCTCCTGCGTTTAGGTGTTTTGAGGACAAAAATCTGTAAAACAAGAAATAAAATTGGTCTGGCCTTATCCCAAATATAAATACAATAAATTTTACCATTGACAACATTTCTGATTATCGATCCTTTTCGTCAGCCCTTACCAAAACTTGATCTCTATTTGCTTGATGAGAATAATTAGGATGACAAAAGGATTAACATATCATTCCACTAAGTATATCATTCCACTAAAGTACAGCATTCATAAACCCTTTAGATATATTTCCAATGAATAATTCACTTGAACATGATAAACATTTGTACTGACTGAAACATTCATTAAAACGTAATTAAACTAATATAGAAAAACTTGGTGAAAATCCCAATATATGGTATATTACAGGTATATTGTTGAAATGTGATATTACTAAATGTGATCCTAATAACTACATGAACATTGCTCTACTTGATATACTGAGTAAAATATTCATGACAATATTAGAAACCTGCACATAATTCCGGCTAACACAGCAGCTGTTTTCTGAAT